CCTAGCCCTGGTGGGAGTTCTGTGAGCCAGACCAAGGCCTGCAGGGCTGAAGGACAGGTTTGAGAATGGAGCTGCCAGAGTGTCTGTGGGAGCCAGGGAGAGAGTAGGTTGGGTTACCCTGAGGCAAGGTCTGGGGAGACCTCTTATCCTGCTGCCAGTCACAGGCTTGCCTGTGAAGTATACTACAAAACTAACAATCTAGAATGAAAACAGTGAGGATAAAAGTAACTTAAGCTGAGCTACTGAACCCAGCAACCTCAATACGCCTTCCTGTGTGGATGCTCCCAATGGCTGACTTCTGGATCCACTACAGAATTCTTGGCCAGTTCATGCCCCTTACCACTCCCAATTGTGCTACTGGAGCTTTCTCCACTGTGACCACCACTCTCGCCACCACCACCATCACTACCCACCATCACCATTACTTCCTCCACCACCAGTGCCACCATCACACCAGCCCTACCACCATCTCCACCATCATACAGCTGGGCTGGACTCAAAACCAGGTCTGGCTGCTTGTGCTTTTACAAGCTTTTCTTTATCACATGAGCAGAGAACGTAAAGAGCAGAGTAAAAACCTGGTGTTTCTTCTAAAAACACAGGGGGTGGAGCATGTCACAGGATATACTTCACTACTGACCATTTTCATTAAACACAGGCAGTCGAGGACATGCCTTCCCCTGAGTCAGCCCTGCAAGAGTGTCCACTGGGCAGCAAAGGGCCCAATCCTCACTCTTCTGTGAAGATGCCCACCTCACCCACTGCCAGGATTGCCAGAGAGAGGAGGAAACCATCATTGACACAAACAGAATTGTAGAATTTTCAGGGAAAAGACACTTGACTTCCAAGGGGCTTTTTTTTTTTTTTTCTTTTTTCTTTTTCAGCTGATGCCCTTTTCGGGTCCATGGAGAAATGAATAAGTAAATAAGATACTAGAAGGAGGGAGTGAACAGAACCACATCTGAGGGTTGGCAATTTAAGACAGGCTTCTGCCTTCCTAGTAAGACAGAATTTCATTTAGTTTTTAAAAAATGCTTTACACTCAGTCTCAATTACTTTTCCCAAAGAAGGGGCAATGCTTTCAAGATCTGGCAAGTAACATATTCCATTCATGTCCCCAGGACTTGGTAATTTCTGCCATGTGAAGACAGACATTCCCAGATGATCTGGAATCAGTGTAAAATTCATACACTAATGATAATGCATGCAAAATGTACATGTTTAGCCTCATGTTAATGAATCAAAAAGTGTTGTCTGAAAATAAGTTGAGGGAATTGTTTCTTTTACTAGAAACTACTTAGAAGATAGTCTCTTTAAATCTGAGCTGTTTACAATTATTAGATTTAAAAACTTTTTTTGTAATTTTAAATTTCAAAGCTATTTGCATCATTACTTCACCTTGTGTTTCTTTTAAAGCATCTTATCTATGTTGTGAGCACTAGTGTCAAAGCTAGGTAATATAATGAATATATCCACATATCCATTTAATTGTACATAAATAAAGGGCAATTTGTCATATAACATAAAAAAAATTCAAAGCTAACTTTTCTATAAAGTTAAAATGCCACAAAAGTTATTATTTATTAATTATAAAATTAAAATATGAAGGAATATGCTAATAAAGGTAGAATCAATATAATTACATCAGGCCTGGGTAAAAAGCAATAGCTGTTTTCACATAAAACATCACCACAAAAATGTCCTAAGAGTCACTTGCTTATTTTTCAAGTTGTATGAGGTGGAGACTCAATTCACTCTTATAATACAATTAGCTTTAAAGAAGTTACTATATATTTCTTAGAGGAAGATTCACTTTAAGTGAAACTTTGAACTTCTTAGGGTACAAATTTTATCCCTGCAATACTGCAGCAAGAGTCTTCCCTCCAAACAGGATGCACCAAGTGTTTAACACATTAATTATCATCCTTCATCAAGCATAAAACTAACAGTCAGGAAATACAGCTGCAATGGCACAATTACCAACACACTCAGAATACACCCTGAAGCAAAGAAAACAAATGGCTTGCTTTTCATTAACAGAGCTTGGCAAGCCTCTCCAAAGACAATGTTTTCTTTCCAGTCAGAGTCCCAAAAGGCATTTAAGGGGCTATTTGCTTAGGTAAACCCGGAGAACAAATTAATCGTGAAAACGTTTATTTAAATTTCAAAATAGCCATTATCAACATAAGGTGCCATTCAAAAAATATACATGTTAAAAGATGACTTGATAAAATAAAAATCTGATAAATATAGGACACGTATTTAAAAAAACGTGGTTTAAGAGGGTTGAGAAGTCAATGTCCTCAGACTTGATCATTTTACATAAGGTATTTATGGTCTTTGTTTTTATGTTTTGTAGCAGATAATTTGATATGCACGTGCCTCTATCTATAAAATAATGAGACATGTACAACAGGATTCAGTTGTATTTTTCAGATTTTCATCCCATGAAATAATTAGCTATCAGCTTGAGATTCTAATATGTCATCACTGAAAGCCAAGATGAGTAATGTTCTAGAGAGATAGTAAAAGAACTGTTTATTTGGTTGATTTCTGGACACTTATTCTTTTTTATTTTTATTTATTTATTTTGGGTACTGGGGATTGAACTCAGGGGCACTGGACCACTGAGCCCCATCCCTGGCCCTATTTTGTATTTTATTTAGAGACAGTGTCTCACTGAGTTGCTAGCACCTCACTTTTGCTGAGGTGGGCTTTGAACTCGTGATCCTCCTGCCTCACCCTTCCGAGCCACTGGGATTACAGGAGTGCACCACCATGCCTGGAGACACTTATTATTTTTTTTAATATTTATTTTTTAGGTGTAGATGGACACAACACAATGCCTGTATTTTTATGTGGTGCTAAGGATCCAACCCGGGTCCCACCCGTGCTAGGCGAGCGCTCTTCCGCTGAGCCACAATCCCAGCCCGAAATTTATTCTTAATATTATTATAACATCAATATACTTTAATGATGTAGCGCTCCTCCTAATATATTATAATTAACCTATGAGCTATCACTTAAACCAAAACTTAAGGAAGGCTCTGGTGATATAAAAGGTAATGGAAACTACTGCCCAGAGTGGACTTATGACCTGAACCATGGCTGTCAACCTTTCCCTAAATTCTCTGCTCAGAGATCCTCTGATGCAATCAGGTTGGTTCTCTCTGCAGAATAAAGAGCAGGATGAAAATTGAAGAGCTGTGTTTTCCTTAGCACAGAAAGCCAAGGATATACATGTAGGTTTTTTCATTCATGTAACAGCCTCAATCTCATGAATTTATGTTGTGCTTCACATGCAACTAACTCAAATATGAAGTTCGTTGGAATTGTGTTTAGGGTAGGCACCATTTCATCTTACAGCTGGTCAATTTATGTTATGTACAGTTGACTTTCAAAAGGCAAATAACCCTGGGTATTGTAAATAAAATCAAATCTGATTCCTCAATGTGCCTTATGGAAGAGTGATCCACGGGATTCTGCTCAGGCCTGTGTAAGAACTGCGAATGGCACGAGTTATCATTTTGACCTGTCTGCCTTGGATGGCTACTTTCTGAGGTGCTGAAAGCAGCAGTAAATCACAGAGAAGAAATACAGCCCTACTAACAGCAGCAACATTGCCAGAGTAAAGACATCTGCTGCCTAACTGTGTGCAAAAAATTTGGCTATACAAGGGAGGATACATAAAATCTTTCGGTTCTCATCAGTGAGACACGGTGGTGATCCCAGCTACTCAGGAGGAAGAGGCAGGAGGATTGCAAGTTTAAGGCCAGCCTCAGCAATTTAGTGAGACCCTGTTTCAAAATATAAAGAGGACTGGCAATGTAGCTCAGTGGTAGAATGCCCCTGGGTTGTTCAATCCCTAATAACACACACACACACACACACACACACACACACACACACACATACACACACAAATGTTTCCCCTTTTCATACTTATAGTTCACAGAGCCAAACAGAGCATATTCTGAATGTAATTACCAGGCAGCAAGTCAGCACCAGTGAAAGGGTGAGGGGGGAGTAGGTGTCCTGCCTAGAGTCAGGTCAGGTGTATCACAGGGTAAGTAGACTTTCTTGGGTTCCTCTTCCTGGGACTTTCATTTTAAGGGCAGGTCTTAAAATGTTTCCATCTCAGTACTTCAATAAATGCGGATACACTATAAACATCTCAAAATCAATGAAGCATTTTAAGAAAAAGCAGCTTTTTAATGTTTTGATGTTAACGGCAAGCAAGGTGATAAGACACAAATTGCCTAAAAAATTAGAAGCAAGGCAATTTCAAGGTGAATTTTTCTTTCAAAGATATGATCTAGTAACAAAGCACCCACTACTTTCTTAGCATTCTTAAAATCCTTTTGGAACCCAAATGCTTCCTTACCTTGATATGCATTCATCTCTAGTATCCATTAGAGAGAAAAATAATACCGATTCAGTTTCAATAGTAAGAATCAGACAGTGTGCATGCATTCCTTCTGAATTGAGAAGACCTTGTGTCTAATGTTGCTTTTTCAGTTAGAAAAACTAGTACCAGTCTTATGGAAAAATCCAATTCTACACTGGATGGCACTCTCAGAATTAAAAAAGTTATTTTTCAGAAGAAGGAAAGAAGATATACCTTCTGAAGTAAGCATATTTGAATTTAATAATTAAAAAGTAGGACTGGGGGGGGGTGTAGCTCATGGCAGAGCTTAGCTTGTGAGAGGCTCTGGGTTCAATTCCCAGCACCATAAAATCAAATAAAGAAGAAGTAATTGAGTTTCCCACAATTCACCTCCCAGTCATGTGAGTCCTAAGGTTCATTATGTTTTAGGACTGCAGTGGGCTATCATGGTACTAACTACAGATAGGGTAAAATAGACTCTGCTAGGGATCACAGTTCTCTTTAACACTTGGGGTCTTCGAATAATAAACCTCACTGAAATGGACATTGCTAGTAATATAAGCAAAACTGGATTTTTCATAAAACTCTCTGGTGGTCTGTTCAGTTTTCCTACCTTCAGTGTAGTGAATTCATAGGGCTGGTAACCTTTGAAGCTCTCATGGATGGCTGCCATCGTATGGGAAGTTTTCTCCCAAAAATGAAGCAGAGTGGTCTGTCAAGAGAGATGGTAAAGCTATTAATATTTCGAATGTGCAGTTCCAGTCCTGTGCCCCAGAGAAGGGTGCCATCTGTCACTTTCCAGGTCCTCTAAGATGTGATTCTGATGCTTTTCTACACGGAGTTTCCCTCTCTGCCCTGGGACACCTTGCATTTCAGCCAAAGTAAATGCATCCCTGGCTTCTGCGGCTCCCACCACCTGGGACCCTCTCTCTCCATTCTCTTTCTCATTCAATCTGTCCTCCAAAAGCCAGGGCTGGTCATGAATCTATTTTTGGGATCCCTCAAATGACTGGATTACTCCCTCTTTAAACCCTCTTTGGCTTTTAGAACTTTCTGCTTAGTGTCCCCTTTGTTCTGTCTTACAGGTTTAGGAATTATAGTCAGACCCCACTCTCTCCACTTTTCTTCTTAAAACTTTGAGATCCCTGAGGACAAGGAACCTGGTCTTATTAATTTTATATTCCCTCTAACACTCAGCATTCAGTCTCTCACACTCAGTTGGTGTTGACAGCACTGTTGATAGACACAGATGCTATTCTGAAGGAACTCAGAGGCTATGAGGAGAGACAAAAGCAAGTATGTTGAATTATGACAATCTAAGGAGGAAAGAACTTGACGTTTGGTCCAGTACTTTGAAAAGAGCCGAATTTAGAATGGCAAAGATGGAGGGGAAAGGTGCTCCCCAAGTCAATGCAGGGAAGGCGAACATACAGTGTATGTACAAGGGAACAGCTACTATTGGACATGGTTTGATGAAACCGTGAGATGCTAGGAAGGCACAGATGTCAGAAATAAATTATGAGAAAGGCTTTCAGAACTTACTAATTCCTAAACCATACTTTGAGCTCTAATATCATTTTTCTATTGTCTTAGCCTCATGCCACTCTTTGTTCATTGAGACAGACATCACTTTGTTACCTGGTATGTTGCTAGCATGTGAGACAAGAGGTTGCATCTGCTTGCTCCAAGAAGATCCACTTTCTGACACACATCCATCTTCAATTTGTCAAAATTTTTTTTTGCAAGGCGTACTTGTGTCTGTACCTATGAGAGTAAAAGGACATCTCTGAACCACTCAGACCCTCAAATAGTTAAAATTTGCAGGTGACAAAAGACCAATAGCAGGGCTTCTCTTTTATACAAGAATATGCCTTTGAACATTCCAGACAAATGAAAAGATCCTACAACGTCCATTCTTTACTTCCAAAGGCCCAAATAAGAGTACTGAACATTATAATTTTACAGCGACTTATCATTCTTATTACGATTTTCTTAAGACTAGTGTTAAAATTTATGCCTTCTCAAGGCATTTACAAATTAATCACAGGGGGAGAAGTCCAAGGTGGCATGGAATTAGTCTTTGCCCTATGGTTTTCCCATAGTACTTGGAAGCTGGATTTCCATACATTCTTCTCTCAGCTTTCCCCAATGATAATATCTCACACAACACTTGTTAAAATGAAAGAAATCGTCACTGATACTTATTTACTTATTTATAGACTTTATTTGGACTTCACCTGTTTTTCCATGAATGTCCCTCTTCTGTTTCAGGAGCCAATCTACGATATTACACTTTTGCCACAGTCTAAAAAAAATTATCCTTACTGACAAACTCAATGTTTATTAATAGTAATGTACAATAACAATCTTCCACCTTTCCCTGCACCAAAGAGTAATCAGGGAGGGAGTGAAGGCCAGGAAAAGATTCACAAATATTAATTCTCTGCATTATTTCACAATAAAATAAAAAGTTTAAACATTTAATGCAGCTACTTGAAAAATTGCTAAGTCAAAAGTTCTCCTTCCTCCAATCCAAAGTGTCAGCACATCATACTCTCACCAGGGAAAGCCAGCCAATTTTGTTTTACTGAGGTATGACTGATAAATAAGAAGCTGTAGCTATTTAATATATTCAACAGGGTGAGTTAAAATATTAATTTATCTCAGGTAGTTTGTGAAGTTTAGATATAGGTGGGTAACAAGTTGGAGGTAACAATGACTCATTGATGGTAAACCAGGTGGCATGGCCAGTATCCGTCATGCTCACCACCTGACAAGCTGATATGAAGCAGGTACAGAGTACACACTTGTTGACAGAATGAGTAACTTTTCCAGGTCATTTCTAAGGGTTCATATTAAAGTATAATATCTGAAGTGGTTTTAGAAGTGGTGATTTTATTTTCTTAAGAAAACAAGTAGATTATTTTTAATAGAATACAATAATTTGTGTCACTAATACAACTACCACATTCTCAGCTTATCAAAGTATAGGGCATTACCCAACAAGAGCCAAATTACCAATTGATACAACTGACTGACCACATGCATTCCAACATTATTTTATTTTGGACATTCTGACCGCTTTCTCTTACTGATGAAGACAGGCTTCACCAGGGAAGTAACTTAGGAGTAGGGCTGGCATCCTGAATCAGCCTGCCTGACTCCAATGTCATGCTCCTCTGCCACTCAATCAACTTATTACCGCCTGGAAAATAAAACAAAAAAGCTTAATCCCTGTAGGATTCTATGAAACTGGAAAATAAGGAAGGGGTACATTTAATACCATATCAATAGAATTAATATCCGATATGACTAGAAGCTGTATGAGCAGCATCTATAGCTATATTAAGCATTTCCTAAGAATTCTTCTGTATTCTCTCCATAGATCTGGGAAGATCAGAAAATAGCAGCCATCAGCTCCTCTCCAATGGCCCACACCATGAGTTCACACAATCCCGGTGCCCGATCATTCACCGCTGAAGCTTGCAGAGCTGTGTGTGGGAGCTTGGGAGCTACTCAGGAACTCTGACTAAAAAGAGTTTAAAATGAGCTGAGTATCAGGGATTTTCAACCTTCCTTGAAAAGCATGGGGGTGGGGAGAGAAAGCCCCATTCCAGAGGGGAGGAGTGGGACTCTGAAGGGGAGGGACTTTCACATGTGCATTTGTTAAATGCCCACTCACTGAGCATCTGTCCTGCGTCAGGACTAGTGCTGGGCACTGGGGTGGCAAGAAAGGATCAGACATAAAACAAGTGACCAAGAAATGTCTAGGAACAAATGCACCTTGCCATAAGGGACAGTATGTTTTAAGGAAGACAGTTAAGTCAGCAACTGTCACACAATGGTGGAACTATAACAGCAGAGCTAAGAGTGAGGAACAGAGAATGATTAATGCTGGTAGAGTTGGGGCGGCATTGGAGGATGATGGCATTAAAGCCCCAAGTAATGTCCTTTCCGTATCCCTACCCTTTGCCTTGTAACTTTGTAGCCTCCTCCTCTGTGGGCTCTGGGCTTGACGGTGATTGGCTTTGGGTGATTGGCTTTGGCTAGCGAGAGGCTAACAAAATGTAATGAAACTGGGAGCTTGAAAAAAAAAGCTAGCATGTTTCTACTTTCTGTCTTGCTTCTCTGACAGTGCCCTGAACATAAGCCCAGCTGGCCATCTGGAGGGGTGTGAGAGATGCATGCATGCAAGAGACATGAAAAGGAGAGCCCAGCAGTAGGGGAGCCCAGCCATGATTAACAGAGCCCCTACCTGGCCCATAGCTGACCACCAGCATGACTCCATGCACCTATAGGAGACCAGAACGGCCCTGCTATTCTCTAAATTTGTGAGCAATAAAAAGATGCATGCTGTTTTGAGCCACTGCATATTATGGCTGCTTACCACATGGCACTGCTATAGCCAAAAATCATGGATATAAACAGTAAGGGAACAGACAATGAAGGCTTTGCGGATGAGGGGATATCTGTGGTGGACCCTAAAGCATGGCTAGGAGGTACTCTAAGACTTGACTACTTAAATGTGGAGGTTCTAGATTTTCTAACTAAATGCAAATTAACTGGCAGGGATGTGAATTTCACTTTTTCCTGTACATTAATACAATCAGTTACTCATAAAATACTCTTTTATCCTAGGGCAAAAAAAAAAAAACTTCACTTGTTTATAACACAAAATTCATGTATTAATATAGTTTGAAATGTGCCCTAATTAAATTTTGATTGAATTTTGAAAGGTAGCTTAAGGAACCAAGAAGACAACTTCAACACTTGACCCAGTGAGTTCTGAAAGGCCATATGTTTTGTGTGTCAACAATGATTATTAAAATACTTAATGCACTGCTGAGTTTCCAAATGCTGAGCTCTCTCCCTGCCAAACAAGGAGGATGTTTCACTGTTGGGCATTTTGAATACGGTAAAATTTGTTTAATATTTTGTGCTCCATGTCTGTTCTATAAAACACATTTCCAGCCCACAGCCCAAGGACAAAACACCAAGGACACCACCCAGCACAGGCCACCATCAAGAGTATAATTTCATATGCCTCCAGATGCACTTAAGTGAAAAATGTTTTGATTATTATTCCTCTCAATCCCAGATAAATTGTATTCAATTACATAAACATCTTGAGGAGTTCCTGGGGTTTTCAAGGCTCTTTAAAATTTTTTTTCACTCAGATAAATGTACCCTTTGTTTATTTCTTCATTTTATTTCAGCTACCTCACCTGTCTCCTCTTATTCCCCAAACTAGGAAATGACCAAGTATTTTAGAACCTCTTTACTCTGGGTCTTGCCTTCCCCAGGCCACAGAAATTCAATTTACTGGAGAAAGCAGCAATGTCTTTGACTGCCAAAACTACAGGGCACTTCTCTGTACTTATTCTTCCTAACCTGAAATTCTACCTCTTAGCCCCAGCTTGAACTACACAGAGGGAAGCCAAAGGTATTCATCTTCTCAGTTCCTATCCAGTGGACAAGGTCTTCGTATTACTCTACAATCAAATAATCAGAGAGTACTTTTGCCTTTTCCTTAGTGCTTATTTCCTTTAAGAACAAAATAACACAAAATAATTTTATTTTTATATCTTCTTTCAGAAGATATCTTGGATCCCTCAATCCATCCATTAGGCAAATATTTACTGAGTAGATTGTTTATGCTGATAGCAATGAGAACAAATGAAGATAGTCTCTGACCTCCTGAGCCTGACAGTCCTGTGGATATTTTGATATTTGTGCAGATATCACTACAGATTAAGTGAGATGCTCAGAAGAAAAGTCATACACTCTCCCAAAATGGTTGGCTAATGGTTCTGACTCAATGGATGTCCTCCAAGGACATGGTGCTCAATATGGAAGCTGAAGGACTAAGCATGATTAATGATGCTAGGGGGGAGAGAGAGAGAGAGAGAGAGAGAGAGAGAGAGAGAGAGAGAGAGAGAGAGAGAGAGAGAGAGAGGGAGGGAGGGAGAGAGACATGGCGGGGGGAGCATGTGCAAAGGCCCTGGGTGGAGGAGAATAGGGCAAGTCCTAGAACTGACAGTAGGTTAATGTACCTCCGTTGCTGAGAACTGCAGTAGAGTGGTATGAGATGAGACAGGAGAGGCGGGTTGGGTCACATTCTGGAGCAGGACCTTATTGGTATGCTCCGGATTTTAGTTTTGTCCTACCTAGAAAAATACTGTAGTCTCTTATTAAGCAAGGAAGAGAGAGGAGTCTGTTTTCAGTTTGAAAAGATCCCTCATTGCACTGTGGAGATGAACTGGAGGAGAGAGATGAAGGTAGATAAGGAGAGATATGAAGTCAAGGGGAAAGACGATGGTGGTATTAGACTTGGGTAGTGACTCTGGATATAGAAAAGAATTATCTCATCTGAGAGATCTTTAGAGGGTGAAATGGGAACTGATGATGAATTAAATGTCGGAGATTTGGAGGAGGACTCCTATGTATCTGACATCCCAAAGCCCACCTTATTGTTGAACTTGCCTCTCCTCCAGCTGATTCTACTCATACCCATTCCTGTGGCTACCCTCAGACCACAGCCGAATTCTTGGCTGGCTTTCCCAATCAACCCTCAGCATTCCTCCCTCGTGAACTTGATCTGTTCATTCCTATTTTCCTATGAGGCAGCATTCTCATTCAGAAAAAATTTAAGATCATAGGAGACACCAACTACTTCCTCTGTGGTAAGGGGCCACAAGAGAAAATCTAAGGGAGCCACTCTGAAGTCACATACAAAAAAGGAAGGCAGATAGGTGGCTTCATTA